TCTCTAGCTCTCTAGCTACCTGTGAGTTACAATCCCGTCTGTTGATTTTCATGTTAGCTGGAGAATTAGCTCCAAATGTTTGGCAGAATGTCAAAAGCAAGCAGGGGGAGAGAGAAGAAAGGGAGAGAAAAGGAGCTCTGAATTAAAATTTTGTGGCTATTTATCTTTATAATTAATATTTATCACAAAAAGGAGTATCTGTTCTTTTTGGATACTTACAGAGAAGTCTGTGATGATGGCATAATTGTTGTACAATTACTATACTACCTTCACTTGCTAAGTAAAAAGTTTCTATGCACTCTTCTTTACAAGGTTAAAAAAGGAGAGGATGTTATAAAGCTTTCCATGACAAATTGCCACTTGTGCAAATAAATTTATAATGCCAGTACTGTGTGAAGGTATATTGTCTTCATGGGGGTAAGGCTTCACCCCAGTGTATTAAAAATGAAACGAAAGTCAAAGCTTTTCCCAAAAGGGCGCAACATATGCCTGCACTATAAGGTCACCTTTAAGGCTGCTGTGCTCCACTGTGCACAGAACTAAGAGGTACATTTAGCACATCAGCTAAGCATCAACTAACAATTTCACAGCTTGACTGATTACACAAGTGTTTGTTTGTATTATCTGCTGCAGATCAGTTAGGTGAATTTGCAAAGAGCTACCTCACTTTTCATATTTGTCACAGTTAGAGAGATGATTTTTGGAAATGTTCCTTACCATAATAAACCTAAATTGTGAGCAAATCATCCTGAAAACTGTTTCCAAAGAGTTCGTAAATCAAGCCTTGCAGACAGCCATTCCATCAAGAGCAAAGCATAACCATGCAAATTGCAACCATCTGAGTCATTTAGTTCCATTAGAGAGAAGTGTTTCTCTTAATGCAAATGGGTAAGTAAGAGGGCTGCATCAGTTCTGGACGAAGGACCAGCATGACCCGATGTGTGTACATAAACCACAGCTGTAGTGATGGATGGCTGGTTTGACAGTGTCATGTTCTGTGATGTAGTGGAATAAAGAGCCCATTGTGACACTGTGATATCCGCCATCACACACACAAACCTCTCAAAACACCACGTGTATCATTGTCTACAGATGCTGGAATGAGGATGTGTGACAAAGGAATTGTTTGACAGTGTAGGTGTTATGAAAGGGTAAAAATCTGTGCATGTAATTGCATAATCGGGAACAAATAACACACTTGTCTGATTACATCAGAGACACAACAGGAGAGAAAATCGGTCACCTTTGCTACAGTAGCTCTGCCATCCTGCTGTTTTCTACCTCCATATGTGGTCACAGGAGGATAACAAATGAAAAAGCAGAGATGGAGAGTGAAAACAAGACCAACCATTCCTTCAGGAAGGACCCTTAAGGGTTTAGAGGTCCTAAAAAATAAGACTAATTTGAAGGTCATTTAAAGAGCGCCAGGCAATGCAGCTCAGGAGGGGTTCCTCAGAACAAGTGCAGGGGGAGAGGCTTGGGTTGCACTGCTGTGAGGTAGGCACTCCAATGCTCCCCCTTTTGCTCTTCATCAATCTCTCCCATCCACTGAGATCCTCCTCTGACCCACATAGCCAGAGAGAGGGGGTTGCCTTTCTTCCATTATTGATACCACTGCATCACACAACCTGCACATACCTGAACCAAGTCCGCAGAGGAACCACAAAGGTCAGAGAACCACAGGCAGACATTTAGCCTTTCATTCACACCCACAGCCAAAGGTATTGGACAAACCCCTGCTTTTGATATTATGATTTCACAAACCACTTATTTTTGAGGTGTGCGAGTGATTCATTTCAGTTGCAAGCAGGTGAGATCAGCTTCAGCTAGAATGCTCCTTTAAATGCACCGACTGCACAAAAGAAACATTACTGACTGACTTTTGGGTCATTAAATGTGCACCTCAGATTACATATTAGGTAACATGAGAGCTAATGTTCATTTAACTGTTGTCTGGTTCAGACAGATAGTCGCTCTTTTTCTCTTGTTTCTGGCCAGATGCCACACATTTTTACATGTGTTTAGAGAAACATGTGAAACATGTTTATGCTGGATCCCTCTGTAGCATAAACATAATTGTGAATTGCAGCACTCTGAGTGAACAAATGGGCAACTTTTCCCCTGGTTAACACCAAAGTGACAGAGGCTGCAGTGCTGGACCACAGTGTACCAAGGATAAGGAGCAACTCCATCCACTCTTCATGTGTGTATGCATGAGCATTTTGATATCGGGATATAGAGATACAAACAAACCCCTCAGCATCATTTTAGGAAATGTCTGGTGAGCAGTTGCTGTTCTGTGTTTTAGCAGCTAAAGCTTGATTCACTGGCCATGGGAAAACTCCCCCGTGCACATATCTCACTGTCACAACGTCACTAAAACTGCAATTATGAAGGAACATACACACTGTCAACAAACAAAACACGGTTATTGGTTTAGTACACCATTGTCTAAACAAAGAACGGCAATATCACCTACAAAGCTCTCTGTAATCTTTGATTTTGACACAGAATAGACAGAAGAAGCTTTAGTGGTGAAACAATGGCTGATTGGTTGTCTGCATATGCTTTGAATTAGGCCGAGGTTTAGATTAGGATAAACACAAGTTTAAGACATTCTAAGCCTTTTCCATAGCAGAGAACAATTCACATATGAATACAAAACTATTGTTTGACCAAGCACTGGCATGGAACAACACTGCTGAATGGAAAGACAGTTTATCTTATCATACTATAACTATCAAGTCTTTGCTGTGGACAGCTTCAGTCAGTTCAAAGGAGGGGGTGCCTGGCTCAAGTGCCTGGTTTTGTTTCTACTTCTGAAAAGCGGCATTTCCTGCACAAATACTTTGATTACAGTACTGAAAGACATCTCTTATTCTGTGTTTGAATAACATGCTTTATCTGAAGTGCAGCAGCCGCAAAGACATTAGCATATTTGCTGCGAGTCAGAATTGGATACCTTTGTTAAAGTGGTAAAACCACTCATGCAATTTAACAGCAATAGATTTGTGCCAGTTCGTCTCCAAATTTGGTATTTCAGTATCTTCATAAATATGAAACTCTGTATATCAGACCTCCAGAACTGAACAAATATCTGAGGTGGAAGGGTATTTATAAATCTAATAATTTTTAATGGTCTTCTGGTTCGGTGATTAAAGCCACACCCATAGGAGAAACTTGACTATTTAAAGGTGCAGTTTGTAAGATCTAAGGATACATTAGCAGAAATTGGCTTTAGTATGCATGACAGTTTTCATTAATATGTAATCACCAGAAAATATGACTGTTTGTGATTTCTTAAGCTTAGAATGAGCCTTTTATATTTACAGAGTGAGTCCTTCATCGTGGAAGCCACCATGATGAGCTGCCCTGTTTTTTACAGTAGCCCAGAACAAACAAACCACACAGTGGTTGAATGTCGTGTTTTCACATGGAGGCAGCAGCTTGGACTTGGAGATGGCTGTAAAAAAAAAAAGAAGATAAAAGTAAGATTAGAAACAAGAGGAAGCACTGTCATGGGTTTAAGAACTATAATTTGAATAAATGGCGAATCATAGTCAAACTTTAACATAAGAAAAAGGAAGGCAGCACGAGTCCCCGTCGTCAAAGAAGCAAAGACATGAAGAAACGTGATAATGTCAGCTACGGTCAAGTGAGCTGTCAATTGCAAAAAACCCAGTCAAACCAGTGGCCCTTCCACTTTTGTTGTGCCTCTTCTCTTCAATTATGGTAAGGGTGCTTGGAGGGGCCAAGATGGACGTTTAATGGCTGAGTGTTTACTAATAGGCCTAATGAGTAAAATGGCATTATTGCACATCTTAATATGTGTGTATTCAGCCTTCTTGAAAATTACACTGCAGTCAAGTGAGCCACTGTTGGCTTTTGTTTGGTCAAGTCAGCCCCACTTGTTTTCCAAGTGCATAATTTATCCTACATTTATGGTAATCACTGTGAAACGGCTGTGAGGGCAGTCGAACACTATGTATGAACGCTTTACTGACTGTTACAATCTGAAACATCACCGCTAGATGTCACTAAATTTCAGACACCACACCTTTAAACCATGATACACACCTGAGTGAACTCGGTGCCCTCTGCATATGATGCATGAGTCTTTGTGAAAACAGAATGATCTAAGAAACCATATAGAGTAGAATATGTCACAACTAAAAAAAAATCTGCTCTAATGGCTCCTACTCTAAACAATACTTCTTGTGCAAGGGGTTCATGTTCTTGCTGAGGGGTAAATGTCTGTGGGTTAACTAACAGGAAGTGGGGACAGCTGTATAGAAGTGAGATGCTGGTTTGTGGTTTTAACAAATAACTGTGACATATCTAACCTGCACGAGCATATCATTGATGGTTGTAAGCATTACTTTGTCAATTTCATCCATAAGTTGTTTTCTTCCTATACAAAACTGTTCATATATTGCTGTGTTGACAATTCAAGCTAGGGAAAGTTGAATATTAAGACACGATAAAAACTGATCTTGTTAGCCCACCACTAAATGTGAAAAAGCAAACATCAAATGAGGTTTTTATAAAATGTTTTTAATAGTTCAAAATGGGATGGCACGGTGGCACAGTGGTTAGCACTCTTGCCTCACAGCAAAAAGGTCCACACCCCGACCATGTTTGCATGTTCTCTGGTTTCTTCCCACAGTCCAAAGACAGGCAGGTTAGCTTGTTTGGTGACTCTAAATTAGACTTCACCCAGAATTTGCATCTGGCGTAAAACAAGTTTAGCATGAGCATCGTCAGTTGGGTGGCGACCCCTAACAGGAGCAGCCGAAAGTGGAAGAAGAAGGTTATAATAGTTCAAAATACATAATTTAGCAAATTCTCTAATTTTATTGAACACAAACAGTCATATCACACAATAACAATCTGAAATTACTGAATTTGAATCTTCTAATGATGCACGAGTAAAAGAAGAATAAAGAATAAAAACATTATTTATGCATTTATTTGTGCATTTCTTTACATTTTGATTCAGCTCAAGGAAAAGAATCCAGCCACCGGTCGTATGAATCATCCTGCATGTTGATAACACCGCTCTTGCACATGCTGGACACACTGTGACTTGTTATCTTGTCTGTCTGTGACTGCACAGTTGTGAGGCAGACGTTTGAGGGAATTCACCCATACTCTCTGCGCAGCTTCTGTAGATACAAGGCACAGGCTTTATGACCAATCAGCTGATTAAGTGGTTTTATTCAATTAATCAATTACAATAATAAATGGATGGATAGTCAAAAATTTAAAGCCATTGTATGATTGCGAGACAGTTTGCTGGCACCACTTCTCCTGTATCTTTCACAAAAATAACCTCTATTCACCATTAATGTTTGTTGGAATAGGTTCATATAAACTGAAGTACTGGGGTGTAAACGTACATAAAAACTTCTTTTTCTCCTGCTACCTGTACAGTCTGCAGTTAAACCTCCAGCATGCATATGGTTGAGCCAGGAAGCTCTGCCTTGCATGTAAAAGTACTGATCCAGTAAGCACACAGTGTAAAAAGAATTTGCTGTGAGCTATGCCTCCACTCAAAACAATATGCATAAAACCCAAAAGGTTCACTGGGGTGTTCAAACAGTAGTGTGTAAATGTCATAGTTTTTAATTAGTAAATACCTGGATTTTAGTCTTGATTGTCTGCTGGAGAGGCCATCCTGGTGAATTTAAGACAGTAAAGAGATGGTGAGGAACATATACAACACTCACTTTAAAATAAATAATTCTCTGTGTTTTAATGGCTAGCTCATTTTATCTATTAAGTATTTGCTCATCCTACAGATTGTTAAAATGCACAAGGATGTAACAACTCAACAACCCAAAAGTTCCTCAAATAGATCATTATTGATCTATAAAGTATAACTCATTAGTCTTCTATAAAGAAATCTGCACCAAAAGAGATGGACATGATGGCAGCTCTGTGAAGACGATACTTGAAAACTGATGCAGTGCAAAAACCACCATTTGATTCTGTAGCAACACGGGATGAAAAAGCACCTCTTTCAATAATTTGTTCATTTGTACTACATACCATAGGTTTGCTTAGCAGCCTCACAGTGTGATTGGAATAAAACAGTAGGATGATTAGAAGTGTTTGACTGGAGTTTGGCAAGGGTGAGAAATTTTAAGTGCTCACCCTCCACCTCTCATCATCCACCCCCACACACTCCCTCAAATGTCTACACATACACAAAAACCACACAGATGTCAGAGAGGTCTGAGTGACTCTACTCCTGTCACTGGGTCTATGCTGTGAAAACAGCACCCTCCCCTCCTCTCCTCACCCTCTCCCCTCTCTCCCTCTTCTCTGGACGCCAGCCTGACATACCAGACCTTGTTCGTTAGCGCATATTTTTACCCACCGTTACTAAATTAGGAAGCCAGAGGGAGCAAATGGAGTGTGGCTGCCAAGGCAGAAGAAGAAGGGTCTGATCAGGCCTGGGTTTGCTGAGGGCCGATGCCAACCCTACCAGCTTCATTAAGAGCCACTTGGGTTTCAGAAATAGAAGCCCAACAGGGACCAGGGCCAAACAGAGCCCCGAACGGCCAGCCAAAAACTCATGGGACAAACAAACAAATAAACGGGTTGTCTCATAGTCTGCCAGAATAAACCGGCAGAAGCCATCCCAGGGAGCCATAAGAAGTTATGTTAGGCAGTACTGCTCACAAAATATACCCTGCCCTGAGACTAAAAGTGGTGACAGTACACATATTGCTAGTCCGATACAAAATAAATTAACCTAGAAAGCTGTCTCTGGAGACCAATTTCTCAAAGCAGCCACAGAGACTTGACTTCTTGCTTATTTGGCATGGATCTTGTGCACTGATGTAAGAAAATATTTCCACAAGGAAATGTACACATCCTCTTGGCATGTAACGTTTATGCCTATGAATGTACAGAATGATGTGGAACACACATATAACAGTACCTTATCTGTATTTTTAAAAACATGTTTTATTTTAATCCTGAAAGGCCTTGCCATATTTTTTTTATCTTCATCTACACTTACAGTTCAGACTTCTAGTACTACAAAATTTATTTTTATTTCATTTAGAGGGGAAAAGCATGTTTGCTATGCAGTATCACTTTTATTTAGGGGATATTTGGTGTTTCAGGACCACAATATGAACAATAACACTTTAGGAAAACGTGCTTTCTTATACATTAAAATTAGGGGTTATAAAACCATAAAGGAGTGTCATTGTTCATTGTTTACATCTCATGTGAGTGGCACCTCTCAACCCGTGCAATACAGTGACTTCAGTCCATTTAACATCCACCCATTAAAACTAATGAGCTATTAGCAGCTGACTTTGAGCAACTTTAAAGTCAATTGTGCCACTCCTATACAGTATATTATCCAAGACAGATATAATCTATATCCCTGCTTTGTATATAGGGTGGCTTTGACTGACTGACACAGCTGCTGTTTTTTGTTATGATAATCCTTTTGATTACATGGCTTATGCACTTCATAACTTCACAAAAAACGTATGTTATCGTGTTTTCCCATTTGTCAGCCTTTTAGCATGTGTATGTGACCAAACAATGGCTTGAAATCCTATGTAACATCATAGGATATCAGAGAAAACATGAAATAAATGATCTGATAAATGCTGTAGGTGCAGTTTGGATAAAACTGAAGAATGAATGAAGCCTTTAGGTTTAAATATTGCCACTTTTACTCTCTGAAGTGTGCATGCCCAGGGGAGAGGCCAAAAAGCCATGGCCATCACTTCTCAAAAGAGCACTACATTATAATACTCCCTTGTGCACAACTGTACAATAAAACCCTGTAGTGTTCTCTGGGACCATTGGCTACTCTTGTGTTACTATACTGACATCTAGTGGAGTCATTAGAAAACTACATTTTATGTTCAAAACTAAAGGTTCTAGGTGGTTGGCCACAATACCATACATAATCCATCCATCCATCCATCCATTATCTCTACCTCTTATTCCTTAATGGGGTCACAGGGGGCTGGAGCCAACCCCAACTAACATTGGGTGAGAGGCAGGGTACAGCTTGGACAGGTCGCCAGTCTATCACAGAGCTGACATGTAAAGAAACAACCACACACACACGCCCACCATACGTAATACAAAAACATTTAGGTTAATGACATTTATATCTTGTTTCTAAGACAGTGCTTGGCATTTCAGAAAACTGTGCCTGGGTAAAACGTATTTAAAATAAAAAATGTAGGCTATTCGATGTAATCACAGGCCTAATTTAAATCTACCCCTTTAAGTCATTTCCATTCTCTACTACTTCTACTACTACTAATAACAATAATAATAATAATAATAAAATACATAGAAAATATATTTTGATGCAATGATAAAAACAGGACCTAAAGATGAGTCAATAAAGCTTGCTTATCATGAAATTTATTGTGCTTGAATGCTATATACTGACAAACACAATTTAAAGGCAGTGTCAACAAATCCCATTAGTAGTTACCCAGATCACTCACAGCCTTCTTCATGTTCAGCCACACTGGCTGTTATGATGCCATGTAGCACTGGAAGACATATCACAACATACTAAGTACCTTTCTACCCTCTCTCACTGTCCTACTAGGATTATACTGAACAATATTATATTAACCTAACTATGAGCTTTATCAAAAAGGAAAGTCTTAAGTCTAATCTTAAAGGTAGAGAGGGTGTCTGCCTGGGAGCTGGTTCCATAAATGTTTCTAAAACTGTTGTATTGAAGTTACATCTGTGAGAGTTGTGGAAAGGATGTGGTAATTTTTTTTCTTAATAGTTGTGATTTTATTTGTAAAGAAACTCATGAAGTCATTACTATTGAGATCTAAGGGAATATTAAGCCATTGTTTACACAGTGGCTGGTTGTTCTCTTTTTTTAAAACTTCATTTCACAGAATAAAAGTACAATATAAAGAAAACACAACAGAAGAGTGCCAGGGGTAAATAATAAATAAAATAAATAATAAAATGAATGGGAAAAAATGAAGGGAAAGCTGCATATTCTTAATAAAGAGCTGATATGTTTGACAAAGTAAAGTCTTCAAAGCTTTGCATTGTTAGAAAAGGAGATAGTCTTTATGTAAAAGTCTGTGTAACTACAAAAAGATAGGCAGCAGGCTTTGTTTTTTTTCAGATGGGTAGAACATATTTGCCCTCAAGGACAGTAATGTTGATTCAAAATTGTTGTTCTCCATGTAAACATCCCATACAATGACCATGAACACCAAAAACTAAATTCTCATTCAAAGTTTCTGCCACAGAAAAACTGTTGATGTCTTCAAAAATTCAAAATTTCTTTAAGAAATGCTTTGTTAATAGCATCTGTGGATAATCATATATGTCACATCTTTCATTTTATTTACTACAAAGTCATTCCGAGGTAGACAGTTAATGCCATGTTTATCTACTCATAAACCCATTTACACGCGTGAAACATATGTTTAGGGTAGTTTGCACTTTGGTGGATTTATTTCCCGGTGTTAGCGCTGTTGGCACCGTTACCAACCACTTTGCTCGTTGCCAGAATTAAAATTAAATTAACAAATTGCCGCTAAATTTGTCAAACTAGGGCATACTGTTTTGAACAGGCTCTTGAACGCAGCCCCACTTCCTTTGCACTACGTCCACGTACCGTCAGTGATGGATGGCGTCCCTATTAAACACATCCCGGTTATAGGAGATTAAACGACATGCTTTTAGAGCTACATTTTAGACATGTTTAGATATTGACGTTCAATTATTGCTTATATTCTCCCAATGAAAGGATCAGAAGTTTTCCCTACCTACTGTAGTAACGCGCAGTGTAAACACGGAAACGAATAAGTGTCGGTGGCTCGGTTATTGTTACATCCATAGACTGTTTAAAATGCGTTAAATCACACCTGCATTGAGGCTGACTTACCTCTCAGATGTGAAAATGGATGATAATCGCTCATTGACAAAACGCCACCCAGTTCCTTCGAGTCTCCTGCTGGGTAAGTATCTTCTTACAACACTTTTGTTTGACCCGTGGATTTACTCTGTTACCCAGTGACCAAACTAAAACATAAGGAAATAGCCGATAAAAGAGTTTAAAGTCTCAGATCAAGTGTAGCATCAGTCAGTGGTCAACATTTTAGTGAAAGGTTGCAAAAACTGTCTTAATATGTATTGTTTTTCTATAATGTAGTGACGTGCCTTGTCTGACTAAACTTGCAGATCATTTGTGGCAAGCACCATCATGAGCGTGTATGCATCTCCTTGTGGTTCAGGTGTGTTGAGTCCCTCACAAACAGATTGTGCCAAGAAGAATTTTATAATGATGCTCCCAGAAGAAAAACTCAGGATGTTTGACAGCCGAGCTCAGGCCCATGAAGACAACCAAGAGGTGGGTCCAGTAGATTTTGGTGGTGTTTACAGGACTGCTGCATGTGTATTCTGTACAAGTATGCACATCCCTAGGGATAAATAATTATCACTAGGTATGTTTACATGCTTATTAGTATCCTGGTTTTGAGAGTTCTTGTTATAAAACAAAGAAAAGCAGTGTATCTTCAAATCTAAAAAGCAGGAACCAGCATGTACATGCTGTTTAAATAACTTGAATACAAATTATTACAAAATGTCATCTACATATTTTTCAGATGTACACACCTCACATTAGTAAGGCTGACACCCTCTAAGATGCTTCATTTTATTGGCATGGGTTTTGATGCTTGGTGCAGCGGACTGTTAAGAGATATCACACTGACAGTCTCTTCTGTGCTCAGTTCGATGCCTGCATCCAGGACCTTGTGCACTGTGTGGCTCTGACAAGGCTGGTGTACGGGGAGGGACATCTGAAAGTAGCCCAGGCCCATGCCAGACTGGCTAAAGCATATTTCCACTTCAAAGGTAAGTCTGATAGATAGTTGTAACTACAAACTTTGAAATCGGCTTTTAAAATTTGCACTTAAGACAGATACACAAACCACACAACAGTCTTTGAGGGATGCATCTACACCAAATTGTACTAAAAGATAAGTTTTATAAATGTATGACTTTTTTTTAACTGATGTGCAATGCAGTTTGATCAGTCCATGTGCTACAATCTGCGATGTTACTTTGCTCTGTTAAGGAGCTAATGAAAGGAATAACTGGGAGTCATTTTAAGATGACATTCAGATTTAGAGTTGGCATGCTATTCAGTTCGCACACAGTATTGTTTTTGTGTTCTCTCAGGCTTTGGACTGCAGGCCCAGAAGCACTCGGCCCAGGCCAGAGAGCTGCTTCCTTCCATCTCCTCCTGCAGAGATGACAAACTTGAAGTTCTCACATGTCTTCTGGGCGTACACCTCACACAGGGAGGAGCTGCACTGCTTACAAACACATATCCTTGTCATAATATGTATAGCAATAATAGGACTGAGCAGAAATATCACTTCAAATAACAAGAATTCCTTGACTCTTTTCAACTCTTGAGGAGGCGGAATCCTTTTTTCTGGAAGCAAAAGTCATTCTGGATGAGCTTCATCACTACAGTGGCATCAACCAGGAAGAGAAGATTAAAACTGAGCTGGAAATATCCACTGGTCTATGCAGGTTCAGTAGTGAAAAACGGATTGTGTGCTATTTTTATGCCTCTGTACTGATGATTAGAAGTGATCAGATTGTGGTCACAGTGACTTCATGTTTGTCCCAGTGTTGTGTATATGAGATCTCAGGAACACCTTGAGTGAATTTCTTCAAATTTGGCACAAATGTCCACTTGGACTCGAGGATGAGCTGGTTAGATTTCGGTGGTCAAAGGTCAAGGTCATTGTCCTCATGTCTGTCCCATTCCCAGGAATTTGACTAGTTGGCAGAGGCTTACAACAGCGAAGCAGTAAGTCAGGTTGGATTTGTTTCAGCAGCAGCAGCAGCAGCACACTGACATGGGTCAAAACAGAAGATTTACGATGTGGTAAATGCACAGTAGGTTAGAGGCTTGAATGCAGCATTTACGACCTGGATAGTTAATAACAGCTGTGTCTCGGTTTTAAGCAGTGCTGCCCGATAATCAGGTGATTTGCTCTATTTATTTCCTCTGACTTATAGTATCATGTTCAGGCTGAAGTGAATAACGGCACCATTGCCAATTAAAAGGTAACGGGTCAGGTCTTTCCAGTGGGGAGTTAAGAGTAACGCTTGAGCACTTTGCACTAAACAGTTATTATAGCCAAATAAGTTTTCTCAAATGCTCAAAATTTCAATTACAGTACCTTAGATTTGAGCTATACCACAAGATGGCGATAGATTCCTGCAAGTTTGCATAAAATGAACCATATACCTTTTTTGGGAGGGGTGCTGGCTTAGTTGTACTGGTAAAAGTTTTATTTCATTTTATCTTGGCAACAATTTAAGGAATCAGTGTTTTTCCCTGTCGCTGTCCAGACCACTCACCACCCAGTGTGGGTGTTTTTCCAGACCTGATGGGTGGGATTTTTGCATACAAGCAGCATTTCTCCCTTTTTTCCATGAGCTCTGTGCCTTTTTATATGTTCAGCTTTGGCTCCTTCCTTTGTTACTTTCACCTTGAGACACTGTAAAACCCCTTCTCTGTCAGCTGTTTTGTGCAATTTCCATGATATTGATTTGTTTCTACCACTTTAGAATATGCATTGGCAATGCAATAGTGGTATTGACAAAATAGATCCCAAGGGTAGTGCTGCTTGCTCAGGAAAAGATTAGTGAACATCTCACCAAGCACAAACATCAAGTGCAGTGGAGGCTGATTGTGTCATTAGGGAACTGCATGGCCTGGCAACAGAAAAAAATAGCAGCCTGTCACTGCTATGGATGAAATGAGACACTCAAGCAGGAAATAAAGTGAAGCCTTACCTGGGTTGCAAGAACACCTCTGGTGTCTTTATTTTGATCCTGTAAATCTTTGTATGTGAAAGGACTAGCTGGTTTTGAAGATGTGTATAAGTTTAGACTTTGTAAACAGTTAGTGCTCTTTCCCAAAATGCTGTGGGAATGATTTCCACATAAGTTTATTTACCATACAGAGAACAAGTTTGAGGAAACTCTGTTCTACTCCAAACATTTCACAACACTGTTAAAGTCTTGTAAGCAAACAATACTGTCAGAATTTGGACTGGTTCTTTAATTGGTGTGTGTTTGTGTGTGTGTGTGTGGGGGGGGGGGGTAAAATTTCCTATCTCAGTATCTATTTAAATCTCAAACAGCATTCCTGTACCATGTAAACAGGCCTTATCAGCAGCCAAGGTGAGCTGCACTCGTAGGAATTTGTAAATGATGCCACCCTGTTCTGTTTCAGAGTCAGTTTGTTGACATGATTAGTGTAATTGAAAAAATGTGCAGACTCTGGCTGGTGAGTATGCCTGCCAGATCTCTTTTGTTAGGTGGTGCCTAAGAATGCAGCATGTTTCTAAAGCTCTGTCAGTCAGCACTGTTGTGATGGAGGGGAATGTGTTCACCAAAGCCTGAAACAATAAAGTAAGCTCAGGTCTCTTCTAGATCCTGGTCCAAACATGCTGAGTTTCACACTCAAGGTGTGCAATTAAGATCTGCCAGATGGGATGGGACAGTCAAGGCAGCAATATTTGTTGGCTTTAAATTTGTCCTTTTGTTTGTATTTTCAAATGTGGCCATCGCTGCTCAGATGAGTTATTTGACTTTTTTTTACTTCACATTTTGAACATGCATTTCATAAACTCTTGCTGTTGAATAATGAACTCAAATTCATTTATATTCTGTACACCCTTGGTTTTCATGTTCATGCATCCTATTAATTGGAATGCACTCTGTTCCAGGGTTTGTGCTGTAATCAACCTCCCTGTTCTTCCTCATCTAGTGTGTATACTGTATGTAGGCTATTTACTGGATTCAAATAATATATGTAGTGCATAACCATGCAGATTTTCTGGAATAGGCTGCTGGTTGTGGCCCCTCTTTCACTTTGTCCCAGCCTTACTGTATCCCTTTTCAAGTGACAGCCCAGAGCAAACGTGCTCTGGAAATATTTACAAAAGGCACCGTGTCTCTTGCTTGGCACCACATCTACAAATCCTTAATTGTATTAATCCCTCCCTTGTAGACCTTTAGTAGATTGCAGTGGGATGTGGAATATTACTGTTCTGCCAGGAAGCGTACAAGGACAGAGTGAATGAGGGGATAGAGGGCCATTGTCTTTCTCTGTCCTTACAGGCAGAATGGCAGAACTCAAGTCATGCTGGAATGTTCTATAGTTCTGCTTCAGCCTTCGCTGCTGCCCTAAAAGGACCTGGAGTGCCTGCTGCATGAACACTTAGGGGTGGGGCACTCCTATCCATCACGCCTTGCTAGGATAACCTTGGATACATGGGAAAATGTGAAGACATGAGCCTTCGCAGTGCTTTCCTGTGCTGCTGGCATTTGACCACTGAGCTATGATACTAATGCAGTCCAGGGATGTGGGCATGATGTAACACTGTCAAACTTCAACTTTTTTGTTCTGCTACAGTGCCTTGCGAAAGTATTCGGCCCCCTTGAACTTTGCGACCTTTTGCCACATTTCAGGCTTCAAACATAAAGATATAAAACTGTAATTTTTTGTGAAGAATCAACAACAAGTGGGACACAATCATGAAGTGGAACAAAATTTATTGGATATTTCAAACTTTTTTAACAAATAAAAAAACTGAAAAATTGGGCGTGCAAAATTATTCAGCCCCTTTACTTTCAGTGCAGCAAACGCTCTCCAGAAGTTCAGTGAGGATCTCTGAATGATCCAATGTTGACCTAAATGACAAAGGATGATAAATAGAATCCACCTGTGTGTAATCAAGTCTCCATATAAATGCACCTGCACTGTGATAGTCTCAGAGGTCCGTTTAAAGCGCAGAGAGCATCATGAAGAACAAGGAACACACCAGGCAGGTCCGAGATACTGTTGTGGAGAAGTTTAAAGCCGGATTTGGATACAAAAAGATTTCCCAAGCTTTAAACATCCCAAGGAGCACTGTGCAAGCGATAATATTGAAATGGAAGGAGTATCAGACCACTGCAAATCTACCAAGACCTGGCCGTCCCTCTAAACTTTCAGCTCATACAAGGAGAAGACTGATCAGAGATGCAGCCAAGAGGCCCATGATCACTCTGGATGAACTGCAGAGATCTACAGCTGAGGTGGGAGACTCTGTCCATAGGACAACAATCAGTCGTATACTGCACAAATCTGGCCTTTATGGAAGAGTGGCAAGAAGAAAGCCATTTCTTAAAGATATCCATAAAAAGTGTCGTTTAAAGTTTGCCACAAGCCACCTGGGAGACACACCAAACATGTGGAAGAAGGTGCTCTGGTCAGATGAAACCAAAATCGAACTTTTTGGCAACAATGCAAAACGTTATGTTTGGCGTAAAAGCAACACAGCTCATCACCCTGAACACACCATCCCCACTGTCAAACATGGTGGTGGCAGCATCATGGTTTGGGCCTGCTTTTCTTCAGCAGGGACAGGGAAGATGGTTCAAATTGATGGGAAGATGGATGGAGCCAAATACAGGACCATTCTGGAAGGAAACCTGATGGAGTCTGCAAAAGACCTGAGACTGGGACGGAGATTTGTCTTCCAACAAGACAATGATCCAAAACATAAGGCAAAATCTACAATGGAATGGTTCACAAATAAACATATCCAGGTGTTAGAATGGCCAAGTCAAAGTCCAGACCTGAATCCAGTCGAGAATCTGTGGAAAGAACTGAAAACTGCTGTTCACAAACGCTCTCTATCCAACCTCACTGAGCTCGAGCTGTTTTGCAAGGAGGAATGGGCAAAAATTTCCGTCTCTCGATGTGCAAAACTGATAGAGACATACCCCAAGTGACTTACAGCTGTAATCGCAGCAAAAGGTGGCGCTACAAAGTATTAACTTAAGGGGGCTGAATAATTTTGCATGCCCAATTTTTCAGTTTTTTATTTGTTAAAAAAGTTTGACATATCCAATAAATTTCGTTCCACTTCATGATTGTGTCCCACTTGTTGTTGATTCTTCGCAAAAAATTACAGTTTTATATCTTTATGTTTGAAGCCTGAAATGTGGCAAAAGGTCGCAAAGTTCAAGGGGGCCGAATACTTTCGCAAGGCACTGTAAATATAGGCTGACGATACTGGAGGGCACTTGCTGTTACAGTTTTACCTAAATGTGCATTCTGGAGATGAATTTACTTTCAAATGTCCAG